CTATACGTGGGAATATGACCATTTCACTTTTGTTCGTTTAGTTCGAATGACTTTTATATGCGTACTGTGTTTGTATGTAAGCTAGATATGAATTTGAAAAGCAGAAAAACTTGAGAAATCTTGCAAAAATTTGCCTTCTCTATCCTGTTTGGCCTGTATGTACATCAGTTTCCTTTCACCACTTTCCTCTGCCGCTATATTTAATCCAAATTCACACACTGAGTTTCAGTCAGTCCTGGAAAATTCTATTAAGACTTTTGGTTCTGCTATTGCAATTTTGGGAATGCCGACACTTTACTAAAATCAGAAGGTGGTCCTATGCCCCAAGTTTTAACTTTTCTTCTGTGCAATCAATTCTGTAGTGCTTGTCATATGTTTATTATTGGGGGGTGGGGGTACTTTAGGTACAAAAATTTTAATCCAAGATTCTCGTTACGATATAATTATACAAGTTTTAGTTATACTTGAAATCGAATTATATCGATCGTCTAAATAGAAAATAAAGTTTTCTCAAAATTATTTTTAATTTATAAAGTAGTACTAATTTTTAATTTTTTTAATTTTAATAATCTGACTTTTCATTATTTATTTTAGACTATTTTAATTTCGGAGCCGATACGAAACAGTGGTACATGGTCTCATATATTGTATGAATAAATAAATGATATAATTTATTTATTTATTTGAGAAGAAAAATTGCATGTGACCAAAAAATGTTGGTGTACTATTGCTGGTGTGAAGTCTGAACGTAACAAATGTGAAAAAGAGTCGGAATATGTAAAAGAGAAGTTAATACCTTGTGAATGAAAGTTTATTAACATTTATAATAAGTAATGATAAATTTTGTAACGCTCTTAAAATTTTAAATCAACGTATGTGAATTAATTTGAGAGGTCTTCAAATCAATATAGATAAGTAATTAGGATCGTTGGATTAAATTTAAACTTAACAGGATAAGAATCAAACTTAAACAATCATTAAAAAAATTTAAATTTAAATTAAATGAGGAGAGACCAAATAAATAATGTGATCATTAAATAAAATACTTTTTTTGTGCGACCATTTATGATTATGTATAGATCTGAAGTTGTGTTTGTAGTTAATTATTAAAAATTAAGAAAAATATCATCAAACATTTAAATCAATATTTATAAAACTATTTTATTTTAATCAAAATTTTGAAGAATAGATTAACACTAAATAATTGATAAAAATAAAACTGATTCTAATAACATCAATATTAATAAAAATAATATATATATTACACTGTAATCATCATATTAAAAAAATCTTTCTCACTATTGTCATCTTATATAATTTGATGAGATTAATCTTTATTTAAATCGTTAAACAAATAACCTGAGGTAACGTATAATTTGTATTAAAAAATAAAAAATCTAAAATACACATAATTGTTTCAGTTATCTAAAATTTATTTTTTTTATTCTTCTTAAACTTTTTGAAGGTTAGTATTCTTGATTTAGTTGACGTGTTTTTCTAATTGTTGCGCCCAAACTATATAAAAGACATTATAATATTATATATATATATATATATATATATTATAAGTATAATATTATAGATTTGTAAGATCAGTTTTTATTATTTAAGTTTTGATGAATGCGTCGATTGAGACGTAAATCAAATATATTAAATTTATAATAAAAAGTTATAATATAAACATTTAATATATTCTTCTAATTGTAAGTAAACATATTTAGGCCATAATCGCTTTCGAATGTTCTATCCTTTATATTTATTTTATGAGTTGTATTTAAGATTTGTGATTACTTTTCTTATTTTGATTAAAAATAATAATTAAAAATATTAAATTATTTTTAAACTTGATAAGTTTAGTCAAGTTAATATCTGAATTTAATTGTGGGCCATAGTTCGTAAATTTTATAATTTAATCGATTAAACTATTTTTAAAATTCAATAAATTTAATTAAATTGACTGATGACTTTTATATAATAATTTATTTAGTAGCGGATCCACTTCTTATTTAGGGCAGACATGTGCTCATTATGAAATTTGAATTTTCTTTGGTATTTATTTATTTTATTGATTGTTCTATTCTTAAAATTGTATTTGTGTCTACCCCGTACAAAAAAAATTATATTGTTAATATATATGTCCACTCTCAACTATATATTTGGATCCGCCACTGAATTTATCTGATTTAGGAGTTAATCTAACCCTAAAAATTTTAAGGGTCAATTTGGAAAAAAATCAAATTTAAAGAAAAATTTGATCAAAGTTATTAAATTTAAATGTTAATTAAATCTAAAAAAAAGTAATTTAATAAAATTTATTAAGTTTACGTGTAATTTTTGTTTTAAGCTTACAAAGTTTACTATTTAAACACTTAAACGTTACGTGAAGGAACCCACGTGCGTGGCATTGGCATCCAATCCCCATTGTCACTACATTTTATGATAGTTTAATTTATGTTTTATTTAAAGTTGTTTTTAAATTAAAATACCATTTTATTAAATTTAATATCATATAAATTTGTAACATTTTTTATTGTAATAAAAAAGTTACATTGCGATGATTTTCATTTACAACTGAAAATGTTATGAAAAATATAATATTTTCAGTTTTAACCTAAAATATTACTCTATCAAACCTAAAAAATTACTATTCTAATAAAATTTCCGATTACAACTAATTTAAGTTATTTTTTAATTTTATCTTAACAAATTGTATTTTAAAATTTCGGCTATGATCCTCTCGAGTTCCCATATATATATATATATAAAGTGTTAGTTGAATTGCATGCAACCACATGGTGTTTGGGAACAAGCTTTAATGATGGATGATGAAAATATAAGAACAATGGGCCGTTTGGTCCAAGCAAAGTAACCCATAAAATATAAAGGATAACAATGGGCCACTGATAAGCACTTTGTATCACAATGCCATTTAAGAAAAATCTGGACCTTTCTAAGATACAGCCTGCTTTTGATTTTTTTTCTTCTCTTTTATTTATTTATTTATTTATTTATCTTGTTGGACTTTGCTTTTCTACTACATCAAGTTATTTCTTTACGTGCCAGTCACTTGGTAAATTTGATATTATGATCTGATTACTATATTGTTTGTTAAAATTAAAAGATGTTTTTCTATTGAAAATTTACAATTCAAATTCATAGGAAATTTTCAATCAAATTATTCAAATCATATATTTTTTGCATTAAAATTAAAACATTACACCATGAATCAATAAATCATAGACCCTTGCAAAATTCATACCATAAACAATAAAATAAAATCAACATTAGTTAATAAACCCCAACACAAGACAGTGAACCCTAAATTCTTGACTCAAAACACTTCTCCCTTTGTCGGGTACCTTAAAATTTTAGGAGGGGACAAAATTCTAAAAAGATAAAAATAAATTATCAATTAAAATACAAAAAATATATAAATATATAATAATTTAAAATTTTCAAGAAAGATGATTGCCTAATACAGTGCATCATGATCATGGTTGCTCCTGCCAGAATGGTTTTCAGAACCGGACCGATTAGCGAACCGGTCATGCTACCGGTTTACTAGTTCAACCGATCGAACCGTTTCGACCGGTCGGAAGAACCGGACGACGTCATAATTATTTAAAAAATTAAATAAAAAAATATCAAAAATATTTAATAAAAAATATTTTTTATATCACAAGTCATATTCAAAGCAAGTCATAACATATATAAGTTAAAAACAATAAAATCAAGTGAAACAAAATGATTCAAATTAACTACAACATAATATTTAAGGTAAAACATATTAAATAATAAATATAATTATATAACTATAATAAAAAAATAAATTTGGGGTTAAAAAAATCATAACAAAATGATATTGTTTGGTTTAATTTTTTTTTTTTAAAACAATCTCACATGGCTAAGAAACATAGAAGAGCATCCCAAAAGTCCAAAGAGTAAAAATATGAGAACAAAACAATCTCACATTGCTAAGAAACATAGAAGAGCATCACAACTAACTTCTATAAATAATAGAGGTAATTTGGCATTCAAAATCATGAAGCCTTTTGGTGAGCATTGAGTGAACAATTCTTTCACTTCAATCAAGCTCGAATTTTAGGCTTCAATCGAGCTTTTAATTTTTTTTTTGAGTTCAAGCCTTTTTGAGTTCAAGTTTCAATATTATATTTCGAGTTTGAGTTGAACTTGATAATTTTTAGCTTGTGAGTTTGAGTTGAGTTGAGCTTACTTTTAAAGTTTTCAAGTTCGAGTCGAGCTCAGCAATACTCGAGTTCAACTTGGCTCGTTTAACAAACGACGTTGTTTGGTTTAATTTTTTTTAAAAAAAAAAACAAAAATATTGGTTTTTTTCGGTTTTTTCCGATTTTCAGCCGGTCCGGTTCGAACGGTTCAACGGTTCTGACCGGTTCACTAATAGCGGTTCAACCGGTTTAAATTGAACCGGATTAAGCAACGGTTCCTGATTGAACCTGCCGGTCCGGTCCGGTTTTCAAAACAGAGCCTGCCAGTGCTTGCATTTATGTTCAACTTTGGAACCCATGTAAGGATGGGCATGAGTCGGATTTTTGGTCCACCCGAACTGACTTGAGAATAATGACTCATCCACTTGAAATTCGACCCGACCCACATAATATATACCCTCCCCGACCCGAACCCAACCCGACCCGACCCGAAATAATAATAAAATATTATTTTTATTAAATAAAAACAATGATTTAACTGAAAAATAATATATAGAGGAGTATTATTGTAATTATTTCTAAATATATAAGGTAAAATTATATTTTTTGGGTTTGGTCGGGTCGAGTTTGATATTTTTCACAATAAACCTAAATTCGACCCGACCCGATTTTTTTTTTTAAAAAAAACCCAACCCGGTCAAATCGGAACCCGTCTCATGCCCATCCCTAAAACTGTATAGATTATGAAGATATATCAATGGAAAAGCCTTAATCTTAACACTTCAACAGTACTAATGATAACATTTGATATATAAAAAGAGACCTAATTAATACTATATGATTTGTCGGGGGGGGGGGTATGGAGCATGATCGAGCCATAAACTTGTAATTTGCTGTAAAGTTCATACGCTAGCTAGTTGAATCATGCCTATGTTCTTCACCATGGTATAATACTTGATGTGATCCGGTGGTCGGAGGTCCAGAAATGTTTTTGCCGGAAATTGGCCTATATGTGTTTAGTGCCGCGAGCATGCTTAGATGAGTGTCGGTGACTGAACCGCAGGGACTGAGACCCGAACCCAACTGTTGTCCGGGCAGGAGAGATATCGGAGAAGCGAAATTCATAAAATGTACCCCACTAGACATAGTAGTATTAGTTGAAGGAAATGTCCACATAGGATCAACATCTCCACTCCCGCTGATGACGTGGTTGCTAGGATTTGCCACTGTCCAAAACGTTGACGGGATTGGATTTTGACTCGCCGGAATCGGACCGGTTGACGATTGTATCAAGTAGTTCCCGACTTGATTTTGCGTCAATTCTTGGTGCTCGAGCCTCGTTTTCTTCCGCGAACTAATATCCTCCGCCGCTGCCGAGACGTCCGCACTTGCGTCAGGCAACTCTTGTTTACCTTGCAAGAAAGCGTTCACATTCGGAAACACAACCCGCTGTTGTTGCCGAGAAGACGAGTCGTCGTGATCAACGGCATGCCTCAATTGTTGTGGAGTGAAATTCGGATTGAAATAAACGTTCCTCAAGTGTGAATTGGACAGACTGGAGACTGAACTTCTGAGAGAGATATTAAGAGACGTAAAATTTGCAGGGATAGTACCTGTTCCGGTAGCGGCAAAAACCGCGGGCTCGGCTTGTTGAAGCAGCCATTGAATGGTTTCGCCATCCGATTTGTGGCCGAGCTCTCTCGTAAGCTGGAAAACCCTAGCGGCACAGGTCGCAGGCATCCGGATGCGACGCCCTCGGCCTTCAACCTTGGTGTGCCGGTCCTTTGTTGAGCTTCGCTTAGGTTGAGCTTTCTTGGGTGGCAGCTCCGAGCTTGTCTCCGGTTGTTGTTTCTTTTCTAGAAGCTGTAGAGGGAATTTGGAGGTTGGGATCCCGTTTTCACCTTCCATGATCGTGTGTTTTTCGGATCCCAAAAATAAAACTTTATTTCGACATGATCTGTAGGTGACCACCTTCAAAATTCAGTGCTTTGGAATTGCAAAAATTATACATAATTCCAAACGACTATCCACGTGTGGTATTGTTTATTATTAGGGGTGAACTATCTATTTAGTCACTCAACTATCACTTCAGTTTCATTTTGGTCACCCTATTGTTTTTATTTTCAAAATCATATCTATTGTTATATTTTAGTTCTGTTTGGATCACCCATCGTTAAAAAATAAACATAACTGCCAAAATGATAATTTTTTTTATCTTTTTCAATGATGATATAATATTACCTTATAGTGGCACGTAAATAGTATTGTTTATTTTCAACAAAGACTAAAATGAAACTAAAGTAATAGTTAAGTGACTAAATACGTAGTTTACTCTTATCATTGATACATAAAGACAGCAGCGGCCAGAGTTGGGAATTGGGACCCTATTCCATCCTATAAAGTCAAAATTACTGAAACAGAAAACCAATCACAGTACTCGACAGTTTCTGTCGTTAAATTCATAAAGAAAACTAAAAGCTAAAGTAATTTCATATGTACAGTAATATATATAATAAAGTGGCTCAAATGCCATTCATGCAATCATTGCATTTTGCCTTTGTTCTTAATTTAAAAGGAAAAACAATGTTTTCTTGCTTAGCCAACCTAATTCCCACAAATAAATATTCCATTGCCTATGTTTAAGATCATGAAAAGCATATCTTAATTTCATTCAACTAAATAATAAAGCCATTTCTAAGTTAATTAAATGATCATCTTTATAGAATATGAAACAATATTACAAAATTCTAATCATTGATCGATAAATTAGATCGATAAATTTTTGTTCAATTGATTTAATCAGTTCAAATCATCAATTTAATATAAGTGAATAAAAAATTTAAAAAATAAATTTGATTAAATCATTGATTTTCTTATTCAATTAACCAACTTAATTTTTACAATTATAATATTAAAATATTTACATTGCGTATAAATCTTTGTTAGCATTAAAGTCGGAACTTAAATATATATATATTTTATTATTAATCTTAATAATATATTTTCATTAATCTAACGATTTAAAATTTATATAAAATTAAAAAAAATTGAGACTGTATAAATAAATCTTATCATTTATATTTAATTTATAATATTAATGGACTAATTCAACTCGATTGACGAATATGTGGTAAATAACGTAAAGGGAAAGTTTGAAGTTCCAATCATTATCGGTGAATTATTATTGTCATCTCGTCGTCATCATCAAGTCTAGATTTTGGGTATCATCTCATCTGATGTGAATTGTCCACCTAACATTATTGTACATTAATGCTCTACATCTATCACCATATGTTTGAAGAGCACTTACATATCATATAATATAACTAACTACATATAAAAATAACAGGTTTAAGGATGCAAAAACCTTTTAAATTTTGGAAAAAAATTATATTAATTAAGTTAATTGACCTGTCACGTGACACATTATAATGCGTAGCATTAAAATGCTACATCTCTTATCCCATTACATATGAGAATAGGATCATCTATCTTATTTTTAAAAATATTTAAAAATATAAAAAAATTAAAAAACCTGAATAAAATTATTCTAAACATTATATAGTTGTTAAAAATTGTAAAAGTATTCTTAAGATTCTAAATTATAAAATATTAAATATATATAAAAAATCATTATTAAAATTTATAAAACTATTCAAAAATTCTTATGGACAATAAAGTTGGTATATGAGTTGGCTATAGTTCTTTGGGCTTGGTACGTTACAAACTATTCGTCAATGTATTCGTGTCGATTATAATTTAGATTATAATTTTAGGTCTTGAGGATGCCCAAAACTATTTTTAAATATAAAATATTAAGAATATAATTTATTATTAAACATTTATTAAAAATCATTCACGTAAGAGAAATCGTTGTGTTACGACGTCGTAAATCTATATGAGGAAGAACTGCTACCTTGCAGTGTCGCATATTCCCTGGAGAATAGGTGTTGAGCATTTTTATCCAGCACGATTTTCAGTTGTTCCATCTGTGCATTATTATTCTCAACAACTATAGAGATTCTAACCCAAAACTTTACCATTAGAACTATTTTTTTTTTGAGAAAATTTACCATTAGAACTATGAATCTGAGATGAGGATACGCTTCTGTATGTCTGCAAATGTCTTTACATCTTTTCCCCACAACCTGCTCGTTAAACATCGATGGACATTAGTGTCATCTACATATAGGATTAAAGTATAATACCTATCGGTTTGATTATATACGTACAGGAATATGCAACAAATGAGTGAATGCTTTTACCAATTGTTTTAGCTCAAAATACACACATGGGACAAAAGTAGAACAGCCACAGGTTTCAAGTATGAAGCATTTCGGTGCAAATGGAAGTTTGTTGTGTAGCATCTTGATAGCAATAAGACTGTATTTATACTAGTACAAAGTAAACTTACCAGCAGTCAATCCCAACTGCATTGGCTCCAACCTTATCTGCCTTTACATTATCCCCCACATGTACCACTTTGTCAGCAGCCTCCATTTCAATTTGATCTGCAACAATTCCAAATATCTCGATGAAATAAAAAACCCGCAATGCTACTACACACTAAAGAGAACCATGGAATGAATCATAACCTATCCTATATGGTCATCACTTCAAAATGCTCCAAGATTGTACATCTTTCCTCAAGAAAGAGTATTAAACAGTGAATACATCTCATAATTCCGTATCAAATGGAACATACAAATACATTGGTAGTGAAACATGTAGCACCTAGATTTTTAAGCACAAGTCTGCAAGATAGCACGATATATAACAGCCATGATTCTCAAGTTTCTATGCAAAGATGATATGTTGGCACATATCTATAACAAGTTAGTCATGGAAGTAAATAGATTATCTTTTTATAACAATTAAACGTACTATTTACCAATGAGTAAGATATAATTTGGATCTTAATACAAACCTAAAGCTGCTTTAAATATCCTTGCGTCGGGTTTTTCATGACCAACCTCTGAAGATATGATTACAGCATCAAACCTGAAAATAAACTAAAAATGTGTTGCAAATCAAAAGTGAAGAAGACTATATGGATGACTAGAATGGTTGAAACCCATGCCCTTGGAAAGTAGAAGAGGAAAACAAGATGGAGGTATGGAATCGAAGGTTCAATCAAAATTTTCTTTGTATGAACCATCACAGGCTAAGCTTAGAGGAAGTAAGTTAGATAAACAATGAATCCGTTTCAAGTATAACAAAAGATATATCCCAAAAATTTCAAGAGTAAAATGATATGAGCACTGGCAATTAAGGGGAAAACAGAATAGGAAAGTTGAGTTCATTCGGATAGAGTTGGCAAACATTTGTAAGCAATCTCATAAATAATTGATACATTAAAAAAACATTGCTCAATGTTAAGAACCACAAGACAAAAACATCAACATAGTACTTGATACTTACAGATCTATGACATCGAGTTCCTTCAATAACTTCCTCAATCGGATGTCAAAATTGGACACAACGGCCACTTTAACTGTACCATGACTCACCACATGAGAAATGAATTGGTGGGTAAAACATCTATTCCGACCAATCTGTATATTAACATCATTAGTTACAAAAGAAAAAAAATAAGAGAAATACTTTATGAATATGACCTCCAGCATTTTTTAGAATGAATATTGTTTCGGAAGCTCCATCCGGAAGACGCCATGCATAACCATTGCCATAATGCTGAAAAACGTAGTCAATACCTCAGATTTAACAAAAAGAAAGGAGCTGCTGGTCTAATTACTTGCATTTGAGACGGTCAATAATAACAGCAGCCATTTGAGTTCTTGAAATTCTATTTATTAGTGCATTAGTACTTCAGGAACGTGAAAATGAAAAAATAGGAAAAGTCCCAAACCATTACCTCATAGACTTCCTCAAAGTAATTGTCATCGGAACAACCAGTGGCTTCAGAAACAACAAGTTTCCAAAATGGCTTTCCATCACCCTATTTATAGTTAGAAACAAGAGGAAAGGGAGATTACAACCACATTAAGAAAATAGCTCAGTAAACTAAATATATAGTTCCGGCCAAAGAAAACTAAATATATAGTGGCAGAGCATGGACTATGAGTCTATGAAAGTATTGGAGCAGTACAAGATATACGTGTAAGTGTGAGCGGGAGCGTATATATATATATATATAAACTAAATATGTAGTGACAGAGCAAGAACTATGAAAGTATTGGAGCAGTACAAGATATATGTGTGTGTATATAATGTAATCAAGAATACGAGTATAATGCCACATCCAGTCCCCAACATTCAGTTGAAAAAATAATTAACGTGGGCAAGCATATCACATAAAAAGATAGCAACAAAGAAAACAAGGAACCTCATAACGGAGCTTATCAGGCCATGGGGCAGCAAAAGCCCTCTTAAATCCTTGCTTTATTTCGGTAGAATTCAATTTCAGACCTGAAAGAGAGAGAATATATATATATAAAGAAGTCAAATTTAATAAAACTAAACACTACAAAACCATAATTTCATGAGTTAAATCAAGAAACAATGAAAACCCCAGATTGAAAAGTCTGTAGAATCTTTGATAAAAATAACAACAATAACTGGATAGATAAAAGAAGTGACCGTATTTAGCTCCGAGGGAAGCGTAAGTCTCTTCAACAGGCTTGGACAATTGCAAGAGTGTTCCAGCGGCGTCTAACAGAAGTCCATCGTATGCTCTTTTAACCGACTTTCTACCTGCAAATGAATTCCAAAAAAAAGAAAAATGAAAGAAACGAAAAGAAAGAGTGCTTATCTTTTACATGATTTTGGATTGTCGAAGCAGAAAAGGAAAGGGTGAGAGAGAGGAAGGGAATATAACCAGAGTGAATGGACATGGAAGAGCGGCGAAAGGAGTTAAGTGATGTGAAAAGACGTTTGCTTTGCAAACATTTTGTCAAGCAAGCTTCCATTTTCTGAACTCGGTTGCTTTGCTTTTCTCCCTCTAATTACTAATTAGACGATCACTTCTAGGTTTTGCCTCCAATTGTTTTCGTTGACGCCATATTTTTCCTGTACTGATTTTGTCGGTAAGCTATACCCGGATCACTTTAATTATTAGTTTGTTAACAAATATATTATTTAAAAAAAAAACTACAAACACATTGTTCGATTACAATATTATTATAAATATATATAATTTTGTTGTTAAATTACTTAAATATTTAATGTGTCTTAGTATAATAAATGTTTAATCCCTAAAATTTACATACTTTTATTAATTTTATTCTAATTCAAAAATATTTCAAAATATGTAACCTTCATATTAAAAAATTCTATCAATTTAATCTTATTTTCCCTTATCATATTTTTCAAAGAAAAAAGAATTCATTAAATCAAAACAATAGTTAGATAATTATATTGTCGTATACTAATTCTATTTCTAATTTAAAATTAAGCTAAATTTTATTATAAAAATGATGATTAAAGATTACTTGATAACGATTATAGTATTTGGATAAACATACATAACCATATCCTCCTATATAATATACTCATAATAATATCAATCGAGTTAAACTCAAACAACTAAAATATTGAATTTTTTAATTAATCTAAAGTGGTTACAAGATAATATATATTTTAAAGATTATCAACTATTTGACAATGACAATTCAGACACCCCTACATCTCAAGTGCTCAAATATGAGATCTATAAATAACCATCATCCCTTTAACCACTAAGGTAGCTCAATTAAAATATATAAAATTTATATTCAAGGCAGATAGATATTTATTAAAGTACAAAAATATATTCTCCAAAGAATGAAAAATAAATAAATATACTCATTAAACATATAACCCTATTTGAGATTAACTTCAAATGTAAATAATATGAAATTGAAAATTATGAGAAGATATTACAAAGTGTTGTCATGAGAAAAGTTGTTTGTAGGAAGTTGGCTTAACAAAGAAAGGCAGATTGTGTTGATGTAGTTTATAACATTGAACCATTTTGCAAGGCCAAAAAGGCTCCATCATTTCATCACCATATATGTATACTCTCTGCCAACTGCATTTAAGCACTTGCAGATATTGAAAGAAACCGGTACCGCTTTTAATTCCTGCCAAGCTTGAAAATCCATGAAAAAAAGATACCCCGGAGCAAGGAAAAAAGGGGTTTGCGGGTTTACTTCGTAAAGAACCGTGTTTTGCTTTCGGTTATCGCTTCAAAGACTGAATTTTGTGCTCCCAGAAAACTAACATTAATCTGTAAACGAAAATGTTATTAATAGTGGTTTCTCTGACTATGGAAACATGTTCTCTCAACTCAAATAGCCTTTTGAGTTTGCCATTTACAGTTATCCTGCAATTAGAGCCTCCAACCAGCAACAACCTGGTTTGAGCTTTGATTATACTTGGAGTTATTCTAATGCCAAATTGATGCCTAAGCAAATGATATATGATCCATTTATTTTAATCAACTTTGGACAATAACAATCGGCATTAGTTTCATGCTCTCATTTTCTTGACTAATAGACACAGTCAAAAGGAACAAGGACTAAAATGACTCAATTTCAACTCACTATTGACCTCACTTGAAAAGTTATTTTGCTTGCTATCAGATAAATCACAGCATCGAGGTAAATTAGCCCAAGTGGAAGTTGCCGTCATCAGCTACAATTGGACAATGGTTCCCAAAAACGTGCTAAGACAGAACTATTAACTTCTAAGCTTCGAGTTAAGACCTAGCTTCTATGTTACCAGTATGCATGCATTCAGATAGAATTGCACGATGAAAACTAGCCATATTTGATCATACCTGATTGGTCAAGGAGGTGGAGATGACAACAACCGATGCCTGAATAGTTTTGCTAGTGCTCTGCGCTGACAGTCCTGCATCCAATTAATATAAACATAAATCCTTAACATAGAAACCTTTATTGTGGTCAACTTAATGTGTTATTCATGCATATCACGGATCCATGTCAAGTACAGCACAAGAAGAAATACACATTTTCTACATTTTATTGGAATAATGTCGTGTGGAAATAAGTTGCTTCTTTTCTCTTGGAGCAATTGGTCTTAAATTTTTTCTTACTCCAACAGGTTTCAAAGGCTGCAATTTTTGCATTCGTTCATGTGCATGCAGTTGATTCGGAAATCATAGCAAATTAGCAACAGATATACATTCAGGAAGATTTAACATGAACCAGAGCCACAATTGTCAGTTAGACAAACCAAATCTCAAAGCAAACATGTCTATCAGAGAACCTGTCAGTGACGCAATTAATTAAAACCAGATGCTTATTTTAAAAAATCTTAGATGTCACATAAACCATTTTAAAAAGAGTTTGCTAACACACAGTGTTCACATCAAACATAATATTTACTAAGCTTTGAAAAGGAAATTAACCAAATTTTATGTAGAAACCACACTTCAGCAACAATATGCCCTCTGCACCAAAAATTGTTGAGGGATATACTATAACATGTTATGCAAGTATAAATTCACCTTGAACATATTTAGATGGAATGGTCTATCTGGATTCATTCTCCTTAACTTCAAATAAGTATATGCAAAGCTAAGTTGGTCTCGTGAGGTAAACCGATCAACTTCATTGAACCACAAGCAAGAAAATAAATTTGACATTGGCGTATGGGCTCTGATGATAAAGGAACCTTCAGGCACATCTGAAGGGTACATTAAGCACAAATAAGTTCCTGGCAGAGAAGACGGCTAAGATTAAAAAGGAAAAGAAAGAAGGCTGTTATTTAAAATAAAAAGGCATCAAGATACGCACAACTTGGAAGAGGAATATTTGGGTTTGAAGGATCAAACTTTCTGAGCCCATCAGACAGGTAAAACATAAACTGCTCATCAATGGCAGTATGGTTGTACTTATTCAGACGCTTATTTTGTAGTACCTCTTCCCAAACACAATGGCGATCATAGTGGTTTGAAATGGCATACTCTGCTCTCATTCGCCACAAAAAGAATTCAATGATAAGCATGGGGTCAGTATTCAGTCGCATCTTACTGTCAAGCCAAATTGAATACCTGGAAAAAAAATTAAAATCATAGTATTTAATTTAAAGAACCCGTTTGATTCAGAAGGAAAAGACTGAGGCTCAAAATCTAGACATAAGCTCACCAAGAAGAAGGGAAAAGACGATGTGATAAAAACTTTGGCACCTTTCCAGTTTTCCTCATGTCCAAGTACGGTAAGTTCTTCACAACAACAATTTTCCACAGCCCAACATATCCTCTCTCATCAGGAGTGTGTCCTTCTGAAGACAGTTTCGACAGTGTTTGCTCATCCACAAACATAACAAAACACACATTTTTCTTGGAAAATTCACTTATCTGAAATGGATAAAAACAAATATGGAGCATTACTGACAGAAATCAAACTAGAAAGAAACAGAGGCAGGACAAAAATCAAACTAGAAAGTCAATGGTAACCTGTGTACATTTCATACATCAGATTAAAGTCTCAGAACGTAAATTTTTCAAAAAATTGTTTTCTATCTCCATCCCTTTCAAGTCATTACACGCATTTAACCGTTAACTTTACTAATAAATAATACTTTGAGAAGTCCCTCATGTCTGTCTTAAAATCTTCAAGTTTGTATCTATTCTTCCTTCTTCAGTTGAAATAAGTGGTGAAGATGATATATTCCTTGGAAAAGGTTATGCTTCTTATTCAATAGCTAAGTGACTCATGAATGCATAAAATGATTGCAAATTCAACGTAGAACACACGAAAATTTGAACAAGAGATGCTCATTCTCATGTCCAGAGGACATGAATATGTACATCATACAAGGCAAACAATGAGATTTGACAAGGAATGAATCATTTACCAATCTGCTAGTTGGTCTTCTTAGAAAGTCAGAGCTTCCAAAAATGCAAGAAGATACTGCAACAAGACAAGTATTCATGTATGCCTTGTCATCTTCACTCAACTCAAATCCAGGGCTTGTTAATCTTGACATTCCTTTGACAAAACCACAGTGAATAGTCTGATTCCTAGTGAAGAACGATTCCTCTCTTTCTTCAAGAGTTTGATACCCTCCAAATCTACTCTGGCGTGAGTTGGCATGCAAAGGATTCACCTCCCTCTCTACATAGTCTAATGAAAACTCTGTGAAATTCATATAATTCTTGGGCTCTAAAATGTTTTCAACTGCTGCTGCAAGCCCAACTTCACAAGGAAAATCTGAAACAAAAATGTTTAGTGTTATGTATGAGAAACAATATGCACAAAAATGTTTGGTTTTGACTTTTAAGGATTTAGATCTTCAGTCAAGAAGGGGAGGAGGGGGGACTTAATTAAGCATACCAGTAAGATAAATTAAATGACTACCGGTGACAATCCAGTAAACATAAAATCTACCAGTAAGATAATTGCGCCTTTCATATCGGCTTCACTCCAGCTCCTTTTACATTTAATTATGTCAAGGATTAAAATATAAAATGCAAAATGCAGTTTTGACATTAATGTTGTACCAGAGGTCCAGAAGAGATCAAATTAATCATTTATGCTAATTCCATCCCGGCATTGTTTGAAAGAGACAGAATGCGACAAATTTAAAATAAGGGAAAAAAGTATTAACGCAGATCACATAAAAGCTGAAAACAATAGAGCTTAACAATCATCCATTTTCAAAGAGATGAAATCAATAAAAAGTTGATGTCAAAAGCTAACTAAGATTTGATCCCCCCCCCCCCCCCCCGCTTCTGCTATTTCACAAACATATTACACCACTCACCAACCAATTAAAATGTTCTCACAAATAATCTTAATAAGAAACAATCGTATACAAATTAAAAGGGAAAAAAACTCTTACGCTGCTTACGACGCCTGCTTTTGGGTGGCGTTGGGGTAGCATCGTGGCTAGAAATTTGTTGACGTACTTCTTTTGATAAGGGCAGATGTTTTTCTTCCTCATTACCTGAACTTATACGAAACAATTATATTAATCAAGCGTGAAAAAAAAATAAAAAAATCTAAGAAAAAATGTAGGATTCGGAAAAAAATAAATGTGCGAACAGGGGGATT